TGGGGGGACCCTGCAGTGTTCAGATAGAGACAGGGAGTAGGGGGCTTTAGAAGTTCTATCTTGTGTGACTATACTTGGGCCAGATCAGTGGTAGCAGTTAACTTGGAAATAGTTACATCCCAGGAGTGGTGAAAAGCATGTCAGTGCACAGGGTAGGATCAGACTGCCGGTGCCCAGCACCATGTGGCTCTTTGTGCCCCAGAAACAGCGGGTAGGGAGTGACCACATGGCCATTTCATTTATGCCTGGTGTGTGAGAGGACTGAGAACCGAATAGCTCGAGGGAATTAAACAAAACCTAGAGCTAAATCAATTCTCTGACGCAAGTATTTATGGAACACATTCCGTGTGTCAGGCCCCACGCTGCTTACTGCATGGTATATAGAGTTGCTCAGGGCAGTGCCTGTGGGTGTGGAGTCAGGGCACAGGACAGGGAGCTGATGCAGCTCCCTGGATCAGTTCTCTAAGGACAGCGGGATGTGTCTTGAAGCCAGACCTTGTTCCGGGAGGTCAAAGGACATACTTCATTTGGGGAGAGCAACAAAAGCTTCAAGGGGAGGGGGCATTTGAGATCAATGGGATGATAACAGACAACAATGGGCAAAGCAGTAGAGGGAGACCATCAAAGGCAGAAAGGGCAGCAAAACCAAGGCAGGGAGGAGGACAGAATGGGGTGGTCTGATGGTTCCAGAGTGAAGGGTGGAGACCACATGGAGAGGCTGGGAGGTAATGCTGGAGAGGGCAGGAACAGAAAGAGCTTCGGGTCCTGAGCTAAGTAGCTGGACCTTGGCTCTGTGGGGAGGGCAGGGCATTGTTGAGCGGAGAAATGACATGACCAGGAGATTATTGGGATAGGCAGGATTCACTTCCCTGGAGTAACCTTTAAGCAGTGGTCATCAAGTACTTGGACACTGTCTCCACCAAGGCGTGTGAAAAGCCCTGGTCCCAAGACCTGCCAGTTGTGGGGGCTGTGATTCTGTTGGGAGCCTTGCCTATTCTAGTTTAGCAGTACGGTTTATAGTGCCCAAAAGGAGAATATCACGGATGATAAATGTTTCCTCAAACATTAGTGGGTGGTGTTAACTGCACTCAAATAGCTAGACAATGTATTATCAAGGGCCTTACTTCTCTGTGCCCTTCAAGCAACAGTTTGGGCAGTCATTTGCCACAGTTTCTAGCCCTTTCAGATTTAAAAAAGAATGGCTTTTAGGAGCTATATGATCTTAGACAAGGTCACAGAAACCCTTTAAGTGAAAGGAAAATGTCTACAAACAATTCTAAGTGTTAGCTGTACAGCAGGCATGCTGATATGCACGTTTGTACTTGACTGCTCCTTTACAGGTGAACATTTTAAAAGTGCTTTTCACTTTTTAAAAAATTTATTTAAAATTTTGCCCATCCATTGGAACTTTCCTAGATACACATTTTGCTAGAAACTCAGCTTCCTTGTGTGTAAAATGAGAGAATATGGATATATCATTTTAAGTTTCTTCATCTTTTTTTTTTTTTTTTTTTTTGACAGGCAGAGTTAGACAGTGAGAGAGAGAGACAGAGAGAAAGGTCTTCCTTCCATTGGTTCACCCCCCAAATGGCCGCCTTGGCCGGCCCTGCGCTGATCCAAAGCCAGGAGCCAGGTGATTCCTCCTGGTCTCCCATGAGGGTGCAGGGCCCAAGCACTTGGGCCATCCTCCACTGCCTTCCTGGGCCACAGCAGAGAGCTGGACTGAAAGAGGAACAACCAGGACAGAATCTGGCGCCCCAACCAGGACTGGAACCCCGGGGTGCTGGTGCTGCAGGCAGAGGATTAGCCTAGTGAGCCACGGCGCCAGCCAAGTTTCTTTGTCTTTAACGTTCTGTACTTTCCTGGGTAATCCCAACACTACAGAACAGAGACCATTTCACATGGGTAGGATCTGGGGTGGGCATGAGGGTCATTGTGGACTTGATAGGACAACCCTCAACAGTGCCTGGCCTTCACACTGCCCATCAAGGCCAGCAAATCAGGGCACAGGAGCCCTCAGGCAGCTGAACACATTGTTGGCCCTGGTGCGATCAGTTGTACTCAAAAGACCTCTCCAGATGGGTCTAATGAGGCAGCAGAAGGGAATCCAGGTGGAGAGCCCGGTGGCCTAGAAGCAGTGTCCACCAAGCTATTAGACGTTTCTCCTTTCAACCAGGCATCTGCCTGAGGTCACAGATCTCCTTCAAAACCCCTCTCTTATTGGGTCCTTTGCTAAGCTCCTTGTCTTTTCTCCAAGGAGGAAGCAGGTCAGCAGGCTGTGGGGAGGGTTGGGCTGCCAGAAGGCCAATGTTGGCTGGGCAGAACCACGTTGGCCCCTGGTGTTGGACAGATGGCACGTGCCCCTCACTCACCCAGCCTCTTAAGTAGAGGCAAGATTGTCTACTACTCAGGGAAGATGAAGGCAGTGTGATGGATCTACTGGAATCTATCCCATTCAGCTTGCAGCTCTAGGCAAGTTCTCGTTTTGCTTTTTATTTAGCCAAGGAGTATATTTTTTAGCGCCTCTTTTGTATTGCACTATTGGCTAGGAATAGAGACAAAAGAAAAAGGCCATCAAGACATATAGAAATCAGTGAATTGTACACTCCCTCTTAGGGAGATGCAATGGACCGAATGTTTGTGTGCCCCAAAAACCCTTATGTTGAAGCTCTAATCCTCAACATGCTATTAGGAGGTGAGGTCATTAGGAGGTAATTAGATTTAGATGAGGTCATGAGGGTGGAGGCCCCATGATTAATGCCCTTACAAAAAGAGGAAGAGAGAGCAGAGATCTGTCTTCATGCATGTACCAAGGAAAGGCCATGTGAGTACTTAGCCAGGCATAGGGCCCTCACCAGGAGCTAAACGATGCTGACACACTCAACTCAGACTTCCAGCCTCTAGAAGTGTGAGAAGTAAATGTCCTTGTTTAAGACACTGTGGTATTCCTGTTATAGCAGCAGAACTGACTGACACAGGAAGGACCAGGCCCGGCCTCCGTGGGGATGGGGCTGCTATTCTTTTCCAAACACTGGAAAACTTCACTTTGAAAATCCCTGTGAGTAGGCCGGTGCTGCGGCTCACTAGGCTAATCCTCCGCCTTGTGGCGCCGGCACACCGGGTTCTAGTCCCAGTCGGGGCGCTGGATTCTGTCCCGGTTGCCCCTCTTCCAGGCCAGCTCTCTGCTGTGGCCCGGGAGTACAGTGGAGGATGGCCCAAGTGCTTGGGCCCTGCACCCCATGGGAGACCAGGATAAGTACCTGGCTCCTGCCATCGGATCAGCGCGGTGCGCCGGCTGCAGCGCGCCAGCCGCGGCGGCCATTGGAGGGTGAACCAACAGCAAAGGAAGACCTTTCTCTCTGTCTCTCTCTCATTGTCCACTCTGCCTGTCAAAAAAAAAAAAAAATCTCTGTGATTAAAGATGCTCCTCAGGGCCTGTGAGCAAGCCTGACAGCTCAGTTTCCTTCCAAGCAAAAGTATCTTGGGATGGGTTGAGTTGTCTCACCGCCCTGTACCCCTCAGAGGATGGGTGTAATGGCCTGTGTTCTCTTCTGGTCACATGTGGTAATTGAAACCTAAATTAAGTATCACCCCCTCAGTCACATTAGCCACAATTGCAGTGCTCAGGAGCCGCTAGTGGCTAGTGGCTACCATATTGAACGGAGCAGGACATAGAACTCTGCCGTTGTGGCTTTAAGTCCTATTGGATGTCTTATTGCATGAAACTGGCAATAGATGGAGGTCCACCCTGGGTGAGCTATGGAAGAAAGGAGCCTATGCTAGCTGAGGTAGGGATGGGGATGGCAAAGCCCAAGGAGTAAGGAAAAGCCTCAGTGTGGGGTTCCTAGCTCTCTTTGAGCAGGACAGAGCCCAAACCTTGACCTCACCTTGACTGTTGGTGCTCTTCAGTCCCAAGGGCTCTTGCTTCTCCTTCCACATATCTCCCTGTGTATTCTCATCTACCTCATAGCTTTATTGGCCATCTCTTCCAGAGATTTTCAGCTGAGGCTGCATTGGTACAGTCTGGTGGCTTTCAAACTGCATCAGAACCCCTGTAGGGCTTTGTTAAAACACGGATTCCTGGTCTTCACCCCAGCTTATGTCAGCAGATCTGAAGTAGAGCCAGAGAGGGCTGCTGCTGCTGTTGGTCCTGGGACTACACTTGGAGAGCATCTGGTGTGGTTTAAGAATCACACTCTTGTGGCACCGGCACACCAGGTTCTAGTCCCGGTTGGGGCACCAGATTCTGTCCCGGTTGCCCCTCTTCCAGGCCAGCTCTCTGCTGTGGCCAGGGAGTGCAGTGGAGGATGGCCCAAGTACTTGGGCCCTGCACCCCATGGGAGACCAGGATAAGCATCTGCCTCCTGCCATCGGATCAGTGCGGTGCGCCGGCCGCAGCACGCCAGCCGCGGCGGCCATTGGAGGGTGAACCAATGGCAAAAGGAAGACCTTTCTCTCACTGTCCACTCTGCCTGTCAAAAAAAAAAAAAAAAGAATCACACTCAGCAGCAGGAGTTGCACAGTGGGTCAAGCTGCTGTTTGAGATGCAGGTTCAGTTCAAGTCCCGGCTACTTCCCTTCCAATCCAACGTCCTGCTGATGCATTTGGGAAGGCAGAATATGGTCCAAGTACTTAGGTCCCTGACACTCACGTGGGAAACTGAGGTGGAGATCGGGGCTCCTGGCTTCATCCTGGCCTAGCCCTGGCTGTTGCAGCTTTTTGAAGAGTGTACATCAGGGGCAGGACTGTTGGCGTCAATCAATCAGGGAGTGCTCCTTGCCACTAACCAGTGTTGGCATCCAGATAGAAGAGTATAGGCCAATAAATACTTACCTGCTGCTGCTGGAAACCTCAGCATCTATGGAAGGACCAGGAGTCAGTGGCAGGACTGTTTATGTGTGGGATCAGTTACATCCCCTCCTACAAGCTGTACTGATAAAGTGCAAATTGTGCACCTATAGTGCCTAGTTCCTGTTTCTAATATGTGACATCTCTTTCAGGCACAACTATCTCAGGCCTTAAATGGAGTTTCAGATAAGGCAAAAGAAGCTAAGGAGTTTCTCGTTCAGCTCAAGAACATCCTGCAGCAGATCCAGGTGAGCACAGTTCTGGCATTGGAGGCACATCCAGTGTAGACAGTTTGTGAAATATTTCAAGTAGCAAAAAGAAAGGAAACATCATGTGGCAAGCATTTTACAGTGATGAACATTAGAAGGCTAATGTGTCCTACTGTACGACCTTGGATACTGAAATTTCACATTCAAACACGTGTCTAACATATGTGACATCTGATATGGAAAAAGAGCCTTACCCAAAGACAATTGGAGAGAATCATACAATGGAGACGTAGAAATATGGGATCTACCACTCTACATGACTACTTGGCCATATGGTCCCATGTAGTGTCTGTGTATGGTGCCTTTGTATCTAAATATGCCCATGTATCCAAGGCATCAAAATATAAATGTGTTGTTCACTAAGTAATGTATTGACTAAGCACCTGTGAACCCAACACAGGATCAATGAGGCACAGTCTCTGGCATCAGGGAGCCCTGTCCATAGCAGGGGGAGAGCGCGCATGTGTGCTGCTGTGTGAATGTGCACATGGAGAGGAACTATTTCTGCAGACAAGGGACGCATCCATAAAGTACCGGATGGATAAAAGGAATTGAGGACCTTTAAATTCTTTTTTTTTAAGATTTAAATCTTGGGCCAGCGCCGCAGCTCACTAGGAGAATCCTACGCCTTGCGGCGCCGGCACACCGGGTTCTAGTCCCGGTCGGGGCGCCGGATTCTGTCCCGGTTGCCCCTCTTCCAGGCCAGCTCTCTGCTGTGGCCCAGGAGGGCAGTGGAGGATGACCCAAGTGCTTGGGCCCTGCACTCCATGGGAGACCAGGATAAGTACCTGGCTCCTGTCATCGGATCAGTGCGGTGCGCCAGCCGCAGTATGCTGGCCGCGGCGGCCATTGGAGGGTGAACCAACGGCAAAGGAAGACCTTTCTCTCTGTCTCTCTCTATCTCACTGTCCACTCTGCCTGTCAAAAAAAATTAAAAAAAAAAAAGATTTAAATCTTATGAAAGGCAGAGTTACAGAGGGATATATAGAGGGATATAGAGAGAGAGTTCTTCCACTGGTTCAATCCCCAAATGGCTACATTGGCCAGGGCTGGGCCAGGCCAAAGCTAGGAGCCAGGAGCTTCATCCAGGTCACTTATGTGAGTGCAGGAGCCCAAGTACTTGGCCATCTTCTGCTGCTTTCCCAGGAACATCATCAGGGAGCTGGATTGGAAGTGGAACAGCTGGGACATGAACCGATACCTATATGGGATACCAGCACTACAAGCAGCTGCTTAACCTGCTGTGCTATAGCACTGACCCTCTTGAATTCTTAATCAGCCTATAAAAACCATCTTTCCAAACAAGTTAAAAGTGCAGTCATCAGCCGTGGAGCATTAAAATTTTTTCTTTTTTGTTTTATTTGAGAGTCAGAGAGAGACTGACAGAGAAAGAGCCATCCAATGTTTCATTCCCCAAATGCCCTCAACAGCTATACCTGGGCCAGGCCAAAATCAGGAGCTGGGAATTCAATCCAGGTCTCTCACAAGGGTGGCCGGGACTGAAGTATTTGAGCTCTCACGTGCTGCCTCCCAGGGTGCACATTAGCAGGAAACTGGAATCAGGATTCACATGCAGGCACCCCAAACAGTGGCTTAGGTGCTGTCCCAAACACCCACTCATAGGGCATTTAAATCATGATATTTTCAATGTTTCACAGATATGAGAAGCATTAGTCTACCAGGGCTATCACAATAAAATACCAGGAACTGGTGACTTGAGCAATAAAAAGTTATTGTCGGATGGTTCTGGATTTTTTTTTTTTTTTTTTTTTTTTTTGATAGGCAGAGTGGACAGAGAGAGAGAAGAGAGAAAGGTCTTCTTTTGCCATTGGTTCACCCTCCAATCAGCACCGTGCTGATCTGATGGCAGGAGCCAGGTGCTTCTCCTGGTCTCCCATGGGGTGCAGGGCCCAAGCACTCCGGCCATCCTCCACTGCACTCCCTGGCCACAGCAGAGAGCTGGCCTGGAAGGGGGGCAACCGGGACAGAACCTGGCGCCCTGACCGGGACTAGAACCCGGTGTGCTGGCGTCGCAAGCGGAGGATTAGCCTAGTGAGCCGTGGCGCCGGCCTCTGGTTTCTAGAAGTCCAGGATCAAGGTGTCAGCGCGGCTCCTGTGAGGCCTCTCGTGTTGACTCACAGAGGCCACCCCTCTCTGTGTCTTTACAAGGTTTTTTCTCTCTCTGTGTGTGTCCTGATTTCCTCTTCCTTTGAGGGTACCTGTCATACTAGATTAGGGTCCACCCAAATTACCTCATTTAACTTAAGGCCCTGTCTCCGGCAGGGTGTTCTGTCTGGTGGCCGTGGCCATGTCCCACTTAACTCTAGTGACTCTTAACACTAAAGCAGTTCAGGAGAAAGCAACAAGTTTCCTCTACAAAAGGATTTTTCAAGGGGCTTGGCAGGTTCCAAATGATTCTGATCACAAATACCTGAAGGACTGGGCAAGGGAAGAATTCAAAAGAAACAAAAGTGCCACCAAAGAGGATACAGTCTGGATGATGATCACTCAAGGAAATGGGTAGCTCGAGGAATTAGAAAAAACAGGTGCTTTAGCAAAATCTTAACTGTAGCATCGTTCTGAAGGATTTTCAAAGTCTCCATGTGTTTTGTTGAGTTGAGGCTTAACAATGGGCAGCTCAAAGCCAAGTTGAACCATTTGTATGTACAATACTTGAGTAAACTATCAGAAAATGAGCCTGGTGTATTGCAAAGTGCAACAACAACAACAACAACAAAAAAACAATAAAGCTTATCAAAACAATTGCCTTAGCACTGAAAAACATACCCTTTCAGGATAGCAGTTTTGGATGTATCAACAGTTTTTTGTTTTGTTTTTAAATAAAAAACTGCAACAAATGGGCAGCTAGCACATGAAAAGATTCTCAAGTCAGTTAATCACCAAGGAAATACAAATCAAAACCACAATGGTATTGTACATCACTTCCACTACCATGGTTATAATTAGGGAAATATTAAACGTTGGGGAAGATGTGGAGAAATGGAAACCCCGTTACTGATGAGAATGTAAAATGTACGCGAAACAGACTGCCAGTGCCTCAAGAGTTAAACATGGAGTTACTGTATGGGTTAGCAATTCTATTCTTAGACCTATAACCAAGAGAACTGAAAACATGTCTAGGGGCGGCATTATAGTATAGTGGGTAAAGTCGTCGCCTGCGATGCCTTCATCTCATATGGGAGTTGGTTCGACTCCCAGCTGCTCCACTTTTGACCCAGCTCCCTTTTCCCAGACTGGGAAAAGCAGTGGAAGATGGACCAGGTATTTGCGTCCCCACCACCCACATGGGAGGCCTGGATGAAACTTCTGGCTGCTCGCTTCAGCCTAGCCCAGCACTGGCTGTTGCAGCCATCTGGGAAGTGAACTAGCAGATGAAAGATCTCTCTCTCTCTGACTTTCAAAATAAATACATAAATCTTTAAAAAAGAAACATGACTATAAAAAAACTTGTACATGAATATTCATAGCACTATTCATAATGTAGAAATAATCAAAAGATTCATCAACCGATATGTGGACAAATCATGGCATATTAATACAATAAGATTTTATTTGGCAATAAAAAGGGATGCAAACTGATGGATATAGATGAACCTTGATAACATTGTTAAGTCAAAGAAACCAGTCACAAAAGATCTCTTATTAAGTAATTCCATTCATATGAAATATACAGAATGGGTAGAAAGATTAAAGGTTGTCCATGGTTGTGGATGGAATGGAGAGTAACTGCTAATAGATATGGGGTTTCCTTTCAGGGTCATGAAAATATGCTAATTAGATTATGGTGTTGCACAACTCCATGAGTATATTCAAATATGTTGAATTACATTTAAATGAATGGGATATGGATTATATATCAGTAAACCTGGTTTTCTAAAGCATGATTAGATGTAAGCCTGGACATATTCTGACCTCAGGAGATACTCTGGAACTTTCTTGAACAACCCTTCCGCGTTACTCTCATGGTTACTAAGGGATGTCCCTCAGACGTGGCATGGCTTGATCTCCAAAAAGATCCCTGGGAATGTAGATGTAGCTCTTTGTCAGGTAAGAGGGAGAAACTTCATGAACAGACTGAAGCACTTACCAAAAAGAAGAGGGAAGTCTTTAGGCAACTTCTGGATAAAGCTTCGGTGATTACCTTAACATCTACATGGAAAGAAGTAAAAAACAAATGGTTAAGGAAGCTCTTCCATCCATTAGATTCTCTTCCAATGACAGGGTGAAAAAGGAGAGAATTTGAAGACTATATCAGAGACAAATATATCACAACCCAAGCTGACTTCTGAACACTTTTGTAAAATGAAAACTTATAAAGTACAATTAACTTAGTTTTCCCTTGGAGAAGATGCTGGAATTGGCAGTCCTACAAACTGAAGTCCTCTGTTCATCAACAGAAGAGAGCTAAGATGCTAACCCATGAATATGTCCAGCCCCTAAAAGATGACAGAATTTGGCAGAATGAATTCAGTATCTGTGCCAGACTGTGTGTCAGAGAGGTAGATAAGCTGATGACTAGAGTTGGTTCTCATTGCCTCAGAGCCCACAGGACAAAGTAATTCTGAATGCTCTCCCATGGGAATAAGCCACTTAAGCCACTAATATACAGTGCTTGCTTGAACCTATTTTCTGTTTTACATTTCTGCATTAGTCAACCTATTACAGCAATGATCTGACAATCAGTAGAAATATTTATGAGCAGTTCCTGAACAAAGGCTACTTGGGAAACATTTATTTTCTGTGTGTAGCATGATCCACATGTATACTCAAATATAGGCTGTCTAGTAAATCTAAAATCTTAAGAATAAAAAATAACCTTTTATGAGTTGTAGAAGATGGTGGTTTGATATTCTTAGCAGTGATGTACAGAGAAGTCTTAAGCAACATTGTGGTTTGAATCCCCAAGATGCAAATATTAGTCTGCAAGAAAACCTAAGCTGGGGGACAGTGCTCTGGCATAGCAGGTAAAACCACTGCCTGCAGTGCCGGCATCCCATATGGGTGCTGGTTTGAGTTCTGGTTGCTCCTCTTCCAGTCCAGCTCTCTGCTGTGGCCCAGGAAAGCAGTGGAGGATGGCCCAAGTGCTTGGGCCCCTGCACCTGCATGGGAGACCTGGAGGAAGCTCCTGGCTCCTGGCTTTGGACTAGTTCAGCTCTGGCCATTGTGGCCTTTTGGGGAGTGAACCAATGGATGGAAGACCTCTCTCTCTGCCTCTGCCTCTCTGTGATTCTGCCTTTCAAAGAAATAAATCTTAAAAAAAAAATAACCTAAGCTGGAATTTGTTCTGTTTTGAGTTTTAAAATAAATAAAACATTAAAAAATGAATTCTTATTTGCTAGAGGCCAAGATTAATGTAATGTGCTTCATTTTCATGCTCTGATTATTCCCTCTGAACCATAGGCCAGCTTGTTGTTTAGCCAAAGAGAAGATTTTTTTTTAGCAATTTCTTTTCGGGCATGCAACCGAAGTCATTAAGAGCAGCTGAGGCAAGCATTTGGCACAGCACTTGATGCTTGGGTTGCCCACATCCCATATTGGAGCCCCTGGGTTCAAGTCCTGGCTCTGCTTCCAATCCAGCATTCCTGCAGTGCACTCCCTGGAAGGTAGCAGGTAATGGCTCAAGTGCCTGGGCCCCTGCCACCCTCATGGGAGGCCCAGATTGAGTTCTGGGCTCCTGTCTTTGGCCTGGGCCAGCTGTGACTGTTGCGGGCATTTGGGAGTAAACCAGCAGATAAAAGATATCTCTCTCTCTCCCCCTTTCTCTCTCTTTCTCTGCCTTTCAAGTAAATTTTAAAAATCTAACAAGGAAAATAGAACTGATTATGAAACACCTTTTCTTCCTCATGAAGTGGTCTCGATCAGTGTTCTAGTTTAGACAACAGATCACTTTTACAGGTATTTCCTGCAAGCTATACTCCAGTTGGAATGTTAAATTTTTGCTGTTAATTTTAAGATATTTAATGTTTAGGTATTTGAGCTACAATAAGCCCATCACTTAATATTGAAAAGATTTTTTAAGTGTAAAAATTTTGTAGCATAAGTGGCTAAGGCTATTTATTATATAACAATTTTATTGCCCTGTATCATTCTCCCCTTTTTAAAACTGGCCATCATGTTAGAAGTTTTAGACCGTCCTACAGGCATTGCTGTGGGTATGCCTGCAGAGACTGGTGACTTGCTAGAAATCAAGGAAAGCAGGACATAGTCCTTGCTATTTGTATATTTCAATCACTGCAGCAGACACTGTTATGAGAGGCAGAGACTCATGCATGTATGGAATAAGTGAGAAAGATGATGGTAAAAACAAATGGATTCAGGGGCTGGCGTTATGGAGCAATGGTTTAAGCCGCTGCCTGTGACACTGGCATCCCATATGAATCTGGGCTGCTCTACTTTCGATCCCGCTCCCCACCACTACACCTGGAAGAGGAGTAGAGGATGAGTCAAGTACTAGGACCCCTGCCACCCATGTAGGAGTCCTGGATGAAGTTCCAGACTTCTGGATTTGGCCCAACACATCCCCAGCTGTTGTGGCCATTTTGGGGAGTGAACAAACAGATGGAAGATCCCTGCTCCTCCAGCTCCTTGTAACTCTGCCTTTCAGATGAAAATCTTTTTAAAAAATAAACAAAGGGAATCATTCCAAATCTACCTGAAAACAATTGGATTATATAAAATAAGATCTAAAGAGGATTAAAAACATATTCTCACTCTGCCAAACTAGAAATTATCATAGGCCGTTTGCTTGCTTAAGTCAGGCATTTGCATTTGAGATATTATGTCATAATTAAATTAAATTTATTATTTTTGTTTACTGAAAACATTAAAGCACTTTAGCCACTCTTAATTGTATTTTTAGAAAGTGTTATACTGTGTCTTATGGCTTTAAATTAATATATTCATATTAATCCGAGTTAATATTAAAGGAAAGAGTATTGCCCCTTAATACAATTACCAGTAAAAAATCAGGGAGGGGCAGGCATTTGGCACTGCAGTTAGCTTGCTACTTGGGATGCTTGCACCCCGTATCAGAATACCTAGTGAGAGTCCCGGCTCCTCCGCTTCTGATCCAGCTTCCTGCTAATGTGCACTCTGGGGGAAAGCAGAAGATAACTCAAGTACTTGGGTTTCTGCCACCCAACTGGAAGATGTGGGTTGAGTTCCAGCCTCCTCACTTCTTTCTGGCACAGCCCTGGCTGTTGTGGGCATTTGGGGAGTTAGCGAGTCAGTCAGTGGTTAGAAGCCCTCTCTCTGTTTACATGTCTCTCTCTTACTGCCTTTCCAAAACTTACAAACACAAAAAAGAACTACAAAAAACAGGAAATAAGTTTTAAACATGTTTTAAGGCTCTGTCTCCAAATATAATCACATTCTAAGATACTGGAGGTGGGCCGGCGCCGCGGCTCACTAGGCTAATCCTCCGCCTAGCGGCGCCGGCACTCCGGGTTCTAGTCCCGGTCGGGGTGCCGCATTCTGTCCCGGTTGCTCCTCTTCCAGGCCAGCTCTCTGCTGTGGCCAGGGAGTGCAGTGGAGGATGGCCCAGGTGCTTGGGCCCTGCACCCCATGGGAGACCAGGAAAAGCACCTGGCTCCTGGCTCCTGCCATCGGATCAGCGCGGTGCGCCGGCCGCAGCGCGCTGGCCGCGGTGGCCATTGGAGGGTGAACCAACAAAAGGAAAAAAAAAAAATTCTTCTGGATCTCTAAGGACAATGTGCATTCAGACCTCACGTTACGGGCTGGAGATTACGTCCCTTGAAATTGCTATGTTGAAGTGTTCACCTCCAGTATCTTTTTTTTTTTTTTTTTTTTTTTTTTTTGATAGGCAGAGTGGACAGTGAGAGAGAGAGACAGAGAGAAAGGTCTTCCTTTTGCCATTGGTTCACCCTCCAATGGCCGCCACGGCCGGCGCGCTGCGGCCGGTGCACCGCGCTGATCCGATGGCAGGAGCCAGGTGCTTCTCCTGGTCTCCCATGGGGTGCAGGGCCCAAGCACCTGGGCCATCCTCCACTGCACTCCCTGGCCACAGCAGAGGGCTGGCCTGGAAGAGGGGCAACCGGGACAGAATCCAGCGCCCCGACCGGGACTAGAACCCGGTGTGCTGGCGCCGCTAGGCGGAGGATTAGCCTAGTGAGCCGCGGCGCGGGCCAGAAGAATTATTTTTCTAAAACTCAAACAGACCCTACAGCCTGAGCACTTTTCCATTTCTTTTCTTTTCTTTTTTTTTTTTTTCCTGGTCATAAAAAGCAAACGTAACAGTTACAGGAATTTTGTAAAGTAACGAAAAATAGAACGAAGAAAAGGCCCACCGATATCCCACTACCTGAAGTGAACCCTTCCACCATTTTGACATGTGTTGTTCCATTACGTTAGTCACACACACATACACACACACACACTATGTATGGGATTATACTGTGCACATCTTGCTCCCTGCCTGTTTTCCTCCCTAGTGGTCTTTCCTGAGCACTTCCTATGGCATTAGAAGTGCTCAGGTTTGAATGACTACAGGCAGCTCCATGATACAGACACGCTGAAATTCACAGTGCACTCCTCCAATTCACATTTATTTTTATTGCTTTTAAATATTTATTTATTTATTTGAAAGACAGTTACAGAGAGAGGGAGAGACAGACAGACAGACAGGTCTTCTATCCACTGGTTCACTCCCCAAATGACTGCAATGGCCAGAGCTGAGCTGATCCAAAGCCAGGAGCCAGGAGCTTCTTCCAAGTCTCCTATGCGGATGCAGGGGCCCAAGCACTCGTGCCATCTTCTACTGCTTTCCCAGGCCATAGCAGAGAGCTGGATGGGAAGTGGAGCAGCCGGGACTCAAACCAGCACCCATATGGGATGCCAGCGCTGCGGGCTAGGGACTTTAACCTGCTGCACCACAGCCCCAACCCCCAAATCACATTTATATTGCTTCCAACTTAACAACCTTATAGGCAATCCTGGGATGAAATTCTTCATTCTCTGAAATACTTAAAAAATTGTGGGTAGCACTCACCGAATTCTGTCGTCTTCTCCCTAAAGCTCTCTGCTTCTCCCCACCCCTCTACCCCCAGGAAAATGGCCTGGACTATGAAGCCTGCTTGGTGGCTCAGTGCGACGCTCTGGTTGATGCTTTGACCCGGCAGAAAGCCAAGCTTCTCACCAAGGTGACTAAAGAGAGAGAGCACAAAATGAAGGTAGGCACCTGAGTGAGCGGCACAGCTAACCCCTGGTACATCCTCCACATCCAGCGAGGGGTCCACCATGCAACAGGCACTGGGTGAATCCTTATTGAGTGAATCAGTGACTGAGGCAAGGAAGGCTAACCCAGCTGGTTCAGTAACACTCTCGTGACTTGACCGAAGCCAGCCCACAACCTGTACCCTACTGCTTGCAAGTTAGAAGCCCACCTTCTCTAAGCTCTTCTTTCTTTCTAAGGGACTCCTCGTTTTAATATTGTAGGACAGAAGTAATCAATCATATTGAAAAGGCCTGGCTCTGCTCAGGTCTTCTGTTCTTCAGGTTCTCTCTGATGTCTCATGTGTATAATCATATGCACACACACACACACACACACACACCCCATGCACACTGAGAACCTTTCTCGGGCAGAGGCCTATGAACACTATGAAATGATTAAGAACTGTTATTGTCTGAAGAGCTCCATCTATACTAGAGACTTTCCCAACTGCATTAGAAAATATTACTTTGAAAGAAAGAAGAAATGAGAATTGGAGAGGACTCATGGTTTATAAAGGAAGTGGCTAAGGCCATTGAGTTACCATGACCACCAGTTGGTCCAAAGTGACCTGTTGAACTCTCCTCTAGAGAGAAGTTCAGATTTTGTCCTTTCTCTGCATTACTGCTCAAAGGTTAGAAAGTGGACAGTGTTGGGTGTTGTGGCCTTGCATGCCGGGGAGCGTCGTCATTTATTCCCCAGTAAAAAGGACACACGGGGCTTAGGAAGGAGTGGGTGCAAGTTGGTCCAGGTAGCACCATCTCTTCAGCGCTGCCTACACAGTGGATCTGTGACTCTCAGTGCAGCCTGGCTGCTCCTCCTCCGATGGGATGGTTGCTTAGAGGAAACTTTCCATTGCAGATGGTTTGGGACCAGATCAATCACTGCACATTGAAGCTGCGCCAGTCCACAGGGCTGATGGAGTACTGCCTGGAGGTGATCAAGGAGAATGATGCCTCTGGGTTCCTACAGGTGAGCCAGCCCCACCAAGGACACAGGGCTTCCTCCAACTCCACCACCACTCCCTAAGCTAGCTCAAGTCTTAGGAAAGAGTCTTCCTTGCCTTGGAGTTGAGTAGATTCACCTTTGCTCAGTGATTTCAGAAGACCTGGATTTTCACCCTGGCTCTGATTCACTAGCTGTGACCCCAATTTCACATCAACCCTTTAAACATCTTCCCCACAAACAGAAAAGGACAATCTTTGCCAAACAAGCTGGATAGAAGTGAATGGCAGATCCTTCATGGCCCCTTCCCTCACTGGGCAGAATTCTGCAGAGTTGGTCAGTGACCAGTCATCCACAGAGACAGCTTAGCCTTCTGGGAGTCATCTCGCCAGCATTCAGGCTGACTCGGGGTCATGAGTAACTCTCAGAACATGGCAACGATTCAGCTATGTCTATGGGGGAAATGAGAAATCCTCTTGATTATTCCCTAAGCGGGGAGCATGGGATCTGGGCTCTGCAGGGACAAACGCAAGTGTCTGATAAGCAGGACTTTCCAGCAAGAATGTCGTGTAGTCAGAGTTTGGAACGGAAGCTACAGAACAACTTGGAGGACACACACCAGTGGGGAACAGAGTTCCAAACTCTGTAGATGTGATATTACCTTTCTTCAGGCCCTGGGACAAACTCCTAGTACATTTCACTTTGCAAAATACTAGATCTAACAAAAGAGATATAATGAAAGGTACTTCTGTATATTTTAGAAAAGCATCATTTACGTTGGGTTTGGCCCAACGTCTTTAAATAGAAAATGCTGCTTTATATTTAACATGATTGTACATTTCAAATATGATGGAAACAATGAAATGCATTTTTGTACCATCAGTGTTGCAAGGGCGGGGGCCATGTACTCTCTGCCATGACTTGAGAGCACACACAGTGCAGCCCATCCAGGCTCTGAGCCTGGACAAAGCTCCCACCCCTCCCTCACCACTGGCTGCAGAGTTTTCCCTTTGTAGATTGAAACTTTGAACTCTGTGCTTCCCTTTAAGATCTCAGATGCTCTGATCAAGCGTGTGCAGGTGTCTCAGGAACAGTGGGTCAAAGGAGCCCTGGAGCCCAAAGTGTCTGCAGAGTTCGACCTGACCTTGGACAGTGAGCCGCTGCTGCAGGCCATCCACCAGCTGGACTTCATTCAGATGAAATGTAGGGGTGAGCCGTGGTTGGCCCCAGTTCAGTCAGTGCTTCTTTCCAAAGAGGCATCCAGTCTGAGGGGGCAGCTTGGTGCCATTGGAGGCCTGTGACACACGGAGTGTGGCAGAGTGGGAGGGGAGGGATGCTGGAGTTACAGGTCTAGGTTCAAGAGCTGGCTCAGCCATCTCTGACTGTGTGAGCTGGAGTAGAAACACCCCATCTGAGCTTTCTCGTTTGCAAAGCAAGGATCATTTGCTCATTTAGAGACACTTTGAGAGTGTCCACCATGCACCTGGTGCTCTGGAGGCAGCAGGAAACAAGTCTACAAACTCCCACCTGAAAGTAAGCTTCTATCCTAGAAAAGGAAATAATATGCAGACAAATCTATGATATAATATCTGGCAGTGGCAGGTGTTATGAAGAAAAAGAAGAAGTGGGCACCAGCGGATATTGGAGGGTGCATTATAAAGTAGGGTAGAAAAGGAAAAAAGGAGGAAGAGTAGGAGGGATGGGGGAGAAGGAGACATAATCTAGGGGAACAACATTGCAGGCAGCAGAGGGATGGCAAATGGCAAAAGCCCTAAGACAGGAATAAGTTTTCTGCGTTCCAAGAAGAGCCAGGTCATAGGTAAGAGCAGAATGAGGCCGGCGCCATGGCTCAATAGGCTAATCCTCCGCCTGTGGCGCCGGCACCCCGGGTTCTAGTCCCAGTCAGGGCACCAGATTCTGTCCCGGTTGCCCCTCTTCCAGTCCAGCTCTCTGCTGTGGCCTGGGAAGGCAGTGGAGGATGGCCCAAGTGCTTGGGCCCTGCACCCGCATGGGAGACCAGGAGGAAGCACCTGGCTCCTGGCTTTGGATCAGCATGGTGCGCCGGCCGCAACAGCCATTGGGGGGTGAACCAACAGAAAGGGAAGACCTTTCTCTCTGTCTCTCTCACTGTCCACTCTGCCTGTCAAAAAAAAAAAAAGGGGGGGGGGCAGAATGAATGAGATGAGGATAGCAAGAGGTGGCTTCTGGGAGCCAAAGGGGCGCACAGCAAAGGATTATATCAAGTTTGTACAACTTGCCTTGGTTATAACATTTGCAAGTGATGGCCAGAGCAGAGTGCTGTTCTATGTGCTGCCTCTCCAGCGATGCCCAGGAACATTCCAGAGGGGGAATAAAGCTGCTTGGCTTTTTGTGGACTGAGGGCTACACCTGCAGAATCTGTGAATTCAGGAAGTCCTCACCTGCAGAATAGGTGGCCATTTTTAAACAAAAGGAAAAACTAGCCTCTTGCACATCCTCCTGCTTACTCCCATACAGTTTGCACCTTGGGTGAGGTTTGGAAACACCACCTGCCCGGGGCGTGAATGAGACGCAGTCCTGCAGTGTGGTGCCAGTGCCCCGGGCAGAGGGAGCCTGGACTGGTGGGGGAGCTGCAACAGAGTGGGAGGGGTTGCCCTGGGGAGTGGAGGTGTGGTGGAAGAGGCTTGGGGCTGCTCCACACACTCCTGGCAGATAGGATTTCAGGGTTGAGAGAGGGAGCAGGGAGCGGAGCAGCAAAGCCCAGGGAATAGAGATAGGACTCCTAGAATTTGCCAACTGACAGTCAGCCCTGGGACCGAGTCCACGATCAAGTCAGGGGCTTCACCCAGCTAAATCATCCGTTAAACCTGGAAGAAAACATCCTAATTCTCAGAGCCACATTGAAATACGTAGTTTTTACAAAGCTAATGTTGCCATTTTCACCCAAAGATTTAAAAAAAAAGGGTGGAATATATCTATTTCTAAAATCTATTGAGCCTGCATTGAGCTGCAAAAAAAATATTTTTCCTACTCTCACCATAGTAGAGAGATTCCCATCCCTACACGCTTGGGTTGACTGCCCAGTGCTCTGAGGTTGCTTCCCTTGCCCAGATCTGGTTCTTCGACCTTTTCAGTGTTTCCAGCCAAAGGCCCCCATTCCCAGGGCTGGCTCTCACTTGATTGGTGGCCCTGCAGAGAGGGTCTGCACAGGCTGGCTGACACCTGGAACGTGGACCCTGTTGGAACTCATGTGCTTCTCACAGACCGTAGGGTCAAAACCAGTGCTTTTCAGTGGGTGGGTGGGAAACAGGGTGTGTTTCCTTAGGGTCACAGGCTCAGAGGGATAGGCCCATCTGCATGGCCTGCTGGGATTCCAGGACATTCTCTAGACCTGAGAAGTGCACAGAGTGGGAGTGACCACCTCGGTGGCCAGGGGCAGAAATGAGTCTCCTTACCCTGTGCAATGAGGGTGATGGGAATTTGGCTGGGGCCATGGGGGGCACCATGCACTAACCCGAGTGAGTTCGTGTCCCCACAGTGCCGCCCGTCCCCCTGCTGCAGCTCGAGAAGTGCTGCACCCGCAACAACAGTGTCACCCTGGCCTGGAGGATGCCACCCTTCACCCACAGCCCTGTGGATGGCTACATCCTGGAGCTGGATGACGGCGATGGGGGCCAGTTCCGGGTGAGCTTGCTGCTTGTTTGAGGGGTCCAAGTCAGGAGGCCAAAGGTGGAGCTACCTGTGGGGCTGCCCTTAGCCCTGATTCCACCTCGAGAGAGCATTGGCTGCAAGGACAAAGAGGACTGGCCATCCTGGGTTGGTGGGATATGGGGCTTCCCTACCCAGGGCTGGATCTGGCCAGAGCCTGCAGGCAGAGGAGTCCATTGTATAGAATATTCCAGATCACTTTGCTGTGGGACTAGGGAAGAGCTCAGAGAAAGTACCACCTACACACACCTCCTTCCCCAGTTATCCCCAACCCTAGTTGAGTCTTTGATGCTTCCTCACACACTCTCTCCTCACTCAGTGACACATTTCCTTAACAGATTTTGTCACACCTTGGCCTATCTCTTTCACTCATTATTTCACCTGTTTGAAGAGTTACATGCATCTGGAGAAGAGGAAGCCTTCTCTGGCCCTCACGTACCTGGCAAGGCACAGGGTGTGCAGAGCTTGCTTGGTAAATGGCTGTTGAATTGGGTGACAATCGACATCCATGCTTGATGACTGCTGTGGGACAATGAAGTCTCTTAGTGAGCCTGACATGCATCTTCTAGAAACCCTGGAACAGCTCTCCTCTCCAACCCAGACCCTAATAGAGTACTATCTTGAGATTTCACACAGGGGATTCATGGTGGATGTGCATACCACGGAACATAAGCTGTCCCATTTCAGATCAAGAAGACTCGTAAAGACTCATACCAAGAAACCATTGCCATCATAAAAACTCCTGCCTTTCTTCTCCTGAGGAGTTGTACCCATTTACTAAACCTTGCTGCAGGTTAACATTCCTTTAGTTTCTCTCAAAGGGATGTATGTACATGGTGTTTCATTTTTTTGTTTGAAAAATATGAGAATATAAGACTTGGAAAAATAGCTGTATTAGTACTCCCTGTCTGCATATCTGCAAATATAATGCCTGGCACACAGCTACTATTGATATCTTAGGATAATAAGTGAAACAAATGGAGTGCAAAGTAAACACATAGAGAAGAAACTTTGGGGTCCAATGCAGAAATGCCCACCACTCTAGGAAAACAGAAACCCTAGGAGGGCCAAGGAGAAAAAGATACTGATCTCAGGGCAGGAAGAATGGGGAGTGGGTGTCCCCACGGGCTCCAGGGTCTAACTTAGCAGAGATAGGACACTCCTGAGTGGTGCCCCAGTTGACTGCTGATATGTAGTCCCTGCCTCCCTAGGGTCCATCCCCTACAACTGTATACCTCTGAGCTTCATGGCAGAGGAGCTGGGCAGCTGCTAGGAAGGGCTTTGTGCCCAGTTTGGACAATGTTTGTGTCCTGGCCACAACTTACTGGAATTTCTCTTGCTTAGTAACTTCTACTGGGACAATAGCATCTTTAATATCAATGTGTTCCCAGCAACTGTGTGCTAAGAAGAATTTTCCAAATGATATAGCATAATGAGCAGGCTTGCCTGTCTTTCAGGAAGTGTACGTTGGCAAGGAGACCCTGTGTACAATTGATGGTCTTCACTTCAACAGCACCTACAATGCCAGGGTCAAAGCTTTCAACTCCTCTGGCGTTGGGCCTTACAGCAAAACTGTTGTCCTGCAGACATCCGATGGTGAGCACTAGAGTCTTTTAGTAGCCCAGATGGCCATCTACAGCAGCTACGACAACCAGGTGGTAATGGGCATGGCCGTGTTCTCCAAGGCGTGCACTACTGGGACCATGGGTGGGCTCACAAAGTAGCAAAGTGGGCTCCCAGGTCCAACCCACATTTTATCCTTTAGACCAGTGAAAAACTATCAGCTGCTTAAGATGGGGAGGGACTGGAGGCAAAGAGGGGCCAGATAAGGTGCATCCACCTGTTGCCAGCCTTGTCCCTACTCCTTGCCCACATCCTCCTCCCAGCAAGCCACAATAGAAACAAACATCCCCCCCACTTCATTTTGCTAGAAAGGGGGCTAATTGTGGAATGGCTCAGGAGACCCAAACTTCTGTTTCTGAAGGGCTGAGTGGTGAACAGAGAGGAATGCCACCTGGCTGTCAGGGTGGGACACACTGGTCCCTCTACTAGAGCTTTTCGTGTAGTAGGAACACATCCCTCAGATACCCAGCACGGCAATGCAGAACTGATGGTTTATACACTTAACTGCATGCTTATAGATTTTAGATAATGAACGCCCATGACTATTCAGTGGAAATTTAATCATCTAAGTCCTTAGTGAGGAGTGATGATATAAATAAATACCACATTACAAAGACAGGCCTGCTGCATGTGGCATCGCCCCGCAGGGTTACAGGGGCAATGCTTCCTACTCCCTGATGGTTCTAAGGACAGTGCTAACCCTGCATTTCTTGTCATCCTTAAGTCCAGTGTATCTTCTGATTGCCATGAGAAAAACATGACACACCTGTGTGGTCTTCCAGGGGCCAAGAAGAATGAACCAGAGCAGACAAAGGTGTCAAAGGGCGGCTAGGGATGCTTTTCTGAAAATGGTGTGGCCTGCAGACTCATTTTATACACCCTGCAGTGTCCACTAGCTTTCTGCTGCTAGGACTGTCCGGCCTAGAGAAGGGCCATCCTTCCCATGTGTGTTATAGTCATAATGTTGGAGTAAAAGCCCCACTTTCCACAGCCTGCGGGACTTGGTGAGCAGAAAGGGGTGATACCTGATGAGCTGCAGATTGAGCTTGGCCATATCGCTTTACCTCTGAATGGCTTAAGTCTCCCACCCGTGAGGTGAGTCCTGATGTCTACTTCCTCCTTAACTTGTAACAGTGTTTGAGCATTGGGAAGGAAAGGTGTTAGAAACCAAGACTCTGACATGCATCTAGATTTGAGGCTTTGAGGCCTGAATGTCTATGGCCCTCAGCTAGTGTGAGTTCCTGAGGCTGGGAACTCGGGTGAACACAGAGCAGGCAGTGTGCGTGTGAGTACATGCATGCCTGCACAGCTGTGTGGTAATCACACAGGAAGACAATTCAATGCTGGGCGTCTTCTTTCTGAATCGAGTGAGTCTGTGTCTCTGTGCCTGAGACTACGAGTGAATTCTATCACCTGACCCTGCTGCTCTTCCTTCCTTCTTTTCCAGTGGCCTGGTTCACATTTGACCCCAACTCTGGGCACCGGGACATCATTTTATCCAATGACAACCAGACAGCCACCTGTAGCAGCTATGATGATCGAGTGGTGCTAGGCACAGCTGCCTTCTCCAAGGGCGTGCACTACTGGGAGCTGCACGTGGACCGGTATGACAACCACCCCGATCCTGCCTTCGGAGTAGCCAGGGCCAGCGTGGTCAAGGACATGATGCTGGGCAAGGACGACAAGGCCTGGGCCATGTACGTGGACAACAACCGCAGCTGGTTCATGCACTGCAACTCCCACACGAACAGGTGCGCACAGCCCTGCCCTGACCTCTGTGAATGTGGGGTGTTTACGAATGAGGACCCTGTAGGACAGGGTCTCCTCCTGTCATCCCCAGGCCAGACACTGGGAAGGGTGGAGGTGTTTTCAGCCACTTTGGTCTCCAGTTTCCAGGTGGCTTTGATGCTGAACAGGTAGAAGTGATCATTTACCTGTAGCCCAAATGAGAGTATATACTGAAGATTAAAACAGCACCAGCCCAAAGAGGAATTCTGCTGGATACCTTGCTAGTGGCTTTCTTCCTGCTTCGGCTCCACTTTCCTTTACAGCTGTCAACCCAGGCTTGAGTTGCTGCAGAACATTTACAGGTACCCTCCACAGAGGGAGTAGATATATTGCCACTGCAGGTCATTTGCCTAGAGTGATCCCTACCACTGCTTGGTCTCACGTGGGCTTTGAGCCAAGGCAGTGTCCTCAGTAGGATGGGCCTGAGAGGGGAGGGCATGCTGGGCACTCACTGTGAATGAGTCTGCCCACGGTGTCCTCAGCTGCCACTTTACCCTGAAGAGAGGCTGAGCCCAGGAGTGGTGGACACCTGGGTGGACACAGGCGACTCAAGTCCTGGAGGAGACAGACAGGCCCACATCACTACTGGGTCCCCAGGGCAGGAAGGCAGGGGGTAAGGCAACCCAAGAGCTGCTCTGGGCAGACGCCCCCAGGCCTGGGCTTCTCCCAGGGACTTGGCTGGGGTTAGGGGTGTGGGTTGGTCCTTCAGCTCAGACACAGAAGGCGGAGCTCCCCGCCCCCCACCCCTGCACTCCCAACATAGCTTAGTCCTCTTTGTCTTTCCCCTGGGATTCTGTGCTCACACCTGGCCTATGGGGACAGGGGTGAGGGGACAGAGAACCCCCAAGGCCACCACTGGCCAAGGAACCTAGAAATAGAGTGGAAGTCATGGCTGCCTGGGGCTGCCGCCTCCATGCGGAGCCTTTGTTCTGGTATGCTAGGAGCCATCTTCCCAGCCAGAAGGGGTGGGAAACCTCGAGGAGCCAATCTCCCTGGGCCTTAGCTGCAAGCAAAGTCCGTCCTGGAGCCTCTGAGTGACCTGGAGCCACCCGCAGCTCCTAGAAACATCCCCAGGGATACCTTCCCCTGGGTGGGAGGATCCAGATTGTCTGGGAAGAAGCCAGGTCGGCACTGGTGAGGGCCTCAGGACCTGCCTGCCCACCAGCCTTTCCACTGGCAGTGCCTTTCTCTCTGGGGGCCCAGGTGAGGGGCGAGCACTCTGTCCCTCTGCATCCTGTGCCCAGGCCTGCAGGTTGACCAGGTGCTGTATGCTGACTGGATGCTACAGGCTACCCAGGCGCTGCAGGCTGGTTCTACCCCTTCTGCAGCAGCCTCAGTGCCAGATGGGCTGAGTCCAGGTGCACCAGCTCCAACGCTTCTGGCACCTAGATGCATTGTTTGCTACTGTGAGTTATAACTAAATAAAATAAATTTATTGAATCCTTACTTTGTGCCTGAAGCCACAGGAATCACCTGATATATTTTATTTCATTGAATCCTCACAAAACTGCTATTATCATCACCCTTTTACAGATTATGAGACTGAGGCTTAGAAAGTTTAGGCAATGGTCCCCATCACATGGTGAGTTAACTGTGTTGTCAGGGTTTAACTCAGGATTCCAACCCCTGTCTTGTGGGGTGAAAACTCAACCTTCCTGGACGTTGGCCACAGACTCGCATCCTCAGTGGGCTGGAAGGCACTTCTTGGACCTTTGCTGCTCTTGCCTGCTTCTTAGTGCCTTGGTGGGAGGAGCAGGAAGAAAGTGGAGCCGGAAAATCCAGGGGGAGGAATGTGCCCCTATTTGCGTGCCCCTCCCACACCTCATATGCAGAGCGGGGGCAGTGAGCACTGTCCCAGAAGTCCGGGCAGGAGTGTGCAGGGTATTGAGAATCATGGGGCCTTCACTTCCCTGCACTGAGCTAACTATGCTTGAGAGAGAAGCACGTTTCCTTCACGGCCGACTGGTCACTACCGCCCCCTGTGGTCAGGGCCCAGAAAGCATCAACAGCGCGGTGTCAAGAATCTCTCTTACATGGGGCCGGCGCTGTGGTGTAGTGGGTAAAGCCGCTGCCTGCAGTGCCAGCATCCCATATGGGCACCGGTTCTAGTCCTGGCTGCTCCACTTCCAATCCAGTTCTCTGCTAGTGGCCTGGGAGAGCAGCGGAGGATGGGCCAGGTGCTTGGGCCCCTGCATCTGCATGGGAGACCTGGAGGAGGCTCCTGACTCCTGGCTTCAGATCGGTGCAGCTCCAGCTGTTGCGGCCAATTGGGGAGTGAACCGGTGGATGGAAGACCTCTCTCTCTCTCTCTCTCTGCCTCTTTCTCTCTCTGTGTAACTCTGACTTTCAAATAAATAAATAAATTGTTTAAGAAGAGGAGGGGGAGGAGGAAGAGGAGGAGGAGCAGGAGCAGGAGCCGGGACGTGAGCCAGATACTCCAATAAGGAGTGTAGGCCTCCTGACCATTGTGCCCGATGCCTGCCCCATCTTTTGAAAAAAAAAAAAAAAAAGAAAAAAGAAAAAAAGAATCTCTCTTACAGTCAGCCCACCAAGTCCTCCTTGAGACTTCCTGTGGTGACCCTTGTCATCGCTCACCTCTCTCGGCATCCTACCCAACTGCAGCTGCCTCCAGCTGATCAAGGACAAATACGGTTTTGTGACCAGAACTGAGCCCTAAGTCACACTGAGACCTCAGCCCTAAGCCAAGGGAAGCTCAGGGAGGAGGCAAGGTCAGCCAAGGCTCTGCTGGGAGAGTGAAGCTCCTGTAAAGATCTACCTCCATCTAGTGGATAGGAATTCTCACCATCCACGAAATGCAGTAGCACCAGGATTTATCGAGAGCCCCACAATTGACATTCTCAAGGTGACCGTGGGATGGTGGCCCAGAGGCCCTGATTTTCAATTCAACCATGTGCCACCTTCCAGGGGTCCCCGGGCTGTTTCTGGGAAGTGTTGCTGAAGGGGGTGGGGTGGGAGCTTTCAGCATTCCCTGAAGTCCTGGAGGTCTGTATCACTCTCAGGCAAAGCGTCCTCACTGGGCTAAAACCATAAGGGCACCGAGTTAGTTCTTTTCCTTGGCAGGTTAAGACAGCTTCCCTACCATGCTCCATGCTCCATAATTTTTTTTAAGATGTATTTATTTATTTGAAAGTCAGAGTTACACAGAGAGAGGAGGAGAGGCAGAAAGACAGAGAGAGAGAGGTCTTCCATCTGCTGGTTTACTCCCTAGATGGCCACAACAGTCGGAGCTGCGCCAGTCTGAAGCCAGGAGCCAGGAGCTTCTTCCGGGTCTCCCATGTGGGTGCAGGGGCCCAAGGACTTGGGCCATCTTCTACTGCTTTCCCAGGCCACAGCAGAGAGCTTGATCAGAAGTGGAACAGCTGGGACTCAAACTCGCGCCCATATGGGATGCCGGCACTGCAGGTGGTGGCTACACCCGCTACACCGCAGTGCCGGCCCCAGCTCCATAGTTTCAAATGAAACCCACTCATCAAAGCCTGAGTCCCCTGGAGTGCAGGTTTCAGATACCGTCAGACAGAAGGGGTTGATCCACCTGGTTCCTCTAGGGTGAGACTTCATTTGCAGCCAGTTGACAGGGGGTGTGCACTGCGAGCAAAGGCATATCCTCAGAAAACCAGCTCCTTGCCACCACCTGTTGGGCTCTGGTTTTCGGAGAGGGTGTTCCCTGTATTTCTGAATGAATTCTTCTGAGTTGTCCTCTGCATCCTGGCTCAGTGTGGTGACGTGTCTTCCTGGGGCTTCTCTTTGCAGGACAGAAGGTGGTGTGTGCAAGGGGGCCACCGTTGGCGTGCTGCTGGACCTGAATAAGCACACCCTGACCTTCTTTATCAATGGGCAGCAGCAGGGCCCCACAGCCTTCAGCCATGTGGACGGTGTCTTCATGCCAGCCCTCAGCCTCAATCGCAATGTGCAGGTACCATGAGCCGTGGTGGGCCAGAGCGGGCCTGCTGCTCCCTGCTGCTTGCCCATACGGCCTGACAGAGGGGCCACCCATCAGCCCGCCCTGGGCATTCCTGGGGATGGGCTGCTCTGCTGTTGACTTGTTCATCTCGAACAAGCAGGGACCCTAAGGCAGCAGCTGTGGCGAAGCAGAGCTCAGTTTGGGGCCCAGTGCTAGGGAGTTCTGATGGCCCAGAGGCTAGAAACAGAGACAAAGGGAGAGCCCCGAGGGTACAAGAGGGAGAGAAACATGGGGATTCTATCTTTTTCCTCTAGCAGAGTTCCCTCCCTGCTTTCCCCCTAACCCTTGCCAGGGTGGGAGTGAGGTGAGGCAGGGTCCTGCTTTGTGATGCCCATTAGACGCCCATCAATTACTTCTGGATTGTATTTGCCTTCCACCCATTTGCAAACTGGATTTAAGGCAACCTGAAATATGGGCTGTTGGCCCACAGGGTTAATAGAACAGCAATAGGTAAGGGAGGAGGCCCATGGGAGGAGAGCAGACCCAAATCTGTGGCCATGAGACTAGCACCTGCTGCAGCACATGCAGTGACTTTGCCTGGGGTCTCCACGGCCCACACAGTCAGCTGTGTGACTCTCACTATGAGGGAAGAGGCACCAACCAACATGGACCTCAGTGATACTGAACGGCATAGTAACAGCACAGTAATGACATGGAGCAGCCCTCAGGCAAACAGAGGACACTGCATGTGGCTGTGGCTGCCTTCCCACCCACCTTTGGTTATCCTGTTTTCTTTTCCAGGTCACCCTGCACACAGGATTGGAAGTGCCAACAAACCTGGGGCGGCCAAAGCTGTCAGGCAATTAGCCTCCCAGCTCCAGTTCTCCAGCCAGGCTTGTGAGCCCTGCTATCCTCACTAAGCTCAAATCACCCACGAGGGCAGGACGAGTGAGTCCTGGATGCAACCCAGTAGTCACTGAACGTCATAGAAACACATTTTCTTTGGGGCACAGGGAATAGGTTGGCAGGCTGTGCCTGTGGCTGCCACTATCAAGTCCTAACCGTGGGTGTGTGTTTCACCTTCATTCCACCTGGATGTTACAAATACTCATAAAGAAGCACCTTTCTCAAGAAAGTGGGGAATCACTTGGGTTTTAGGTTCATGTTTCCTGCCATCCAAGTTTCTGAAGCTTGTCTTTCTTTGGAGGCAGAAAGGAAGCTAGACTTTGAGATGGGCATCCTGAGAGCAGGAGTCAGGGAGCTGTGTGCAACCCCGCCCCTGAGTGCTAGACCCTTGCAGATATGCCCTTCCTCCTGGAGAGTCCCGCAGTTGCAGGTTCTGCTCTTTGCTAAGAAGAGGTATCTTTTAGTTTTTCTGTCCTGGTGTCTTTAGTAAGATGTGCCTGCCACTTATAGATTTGATTTGGAATTGTTAGAATGGGACATTAATCACTCATGCTTGATTGTTGTTTCTCTCATTGAACTATTGAGAACTTTTTAAAAATGGCTTTCTTAGGGGCTTTTATTAATCAATCAACTGTTCACTGTCTCCCCTCCCTCTTCTCTCTCTCTCTCTCTCTCTCTCTCTCTCACACACACACACACACACACACACACACACACACATATGGGGATGTGTGAAAGTCTGCTAAAATTCATTCATTCAGTTCTTAGTTCCTACACATAAATGAAAGCACTGGTATTCTAATGTTTATGTAATGAGTTTTCCCCTGGTGGCGGTTCTTTTCAGGAGCGGACGCCCCACGAAGTTAACTGAAAATGTGTATGAGTTGCTCTTTTGAGCTGTGCCACAGACCCCTAAGCATGGAAGGTGGGAGGCACCGGGAAAGACTGTGATGGCTTATCTACTCTTTGTTCTGAGATCCACCCTACTGCCATCAAGAACGTACCACAAATGCAAGAGGGGGCCCACGTGGCAGGCAGGGGTGGCTCTGCCATGATGGAGTAGAGTGGGTGTGACCTCTGAAAAAGGCAAGAAACAAATGGGTACTGTCACATCCCTTGCCTCCCAGCTTCCCGCCACGGGCCTGGCTGTGCTGAGTCCTGCGTGCCAGGGTGGGGCTCCGGGGTTGAGACCTCCCCTCCTTCATGGGAACATCAACCCCCTCCCTTGAAATCCGCTTTGAGTCATCCCACCTCTTAGAGACCTTGCTCCAGGGGTCTGCATGGTCTGTTCCCTCCTCTCTTCTCCCCTGTCACCTGTCATCTCCGCTTCCACCTCCAGTAACCTCTCTCTCTCCTTTTTAGAAGAATCTATTTTATCAAGTCTTTTACTTTTGAGGTCGAGGAGTAACTTCCCTGTTGCTGGGTTGGATTTTTATAAAACTCGCCTTCACTGGCGCCAACTGTGCTTCCTCGTTCTGCCTTCGCACCTGCTTTCTGGGTAACCACCACCAGGGCTGCAGACTGTCCCCCTTGGTCAGCACGTTCAACAATCCTACCTCAAAGCTCAGATCCCGCAAGGCTGCCTGGGCCACTGTCTCTGCAGATGTAGCCTGCCAGGGCAGCTGTCTGGAGTCACTAGGAGCTGCTCGGTGCTGAGTTCAAGCCTCCACTGCAGGGCCCTGGAGCCACCTGCTTCTTCGAAGTTTAGATCTTGCCTCTTCCTCTTTGTCCCACAAAGCAGGTTCTGGCTCTCCTCCTCCTGTTTGAGATCCAGAATCCACAAGACTTGGGCTGCCGCATCCTTGCTCATACAACAGACTCTCTGCTTCCAGTTTCCTGCAGCTGCGTCCCTAGCCATACCTCCCTGGGGGTGTTGGCTTGGAGTAGAAGGACCATCACTAAAGACTGAGGGACACGGAGGAGTTCCACTTTCCTGAGGCCAAGGAAACCATGGCAACATGGCCAGCAGGTCTAGTTGCCATCAGCTTTGTGAAATATCTTGCTCTCTTTTGAAAAAAAAAGAGGCCAATGTAGAGAAGGTGGGCTCGGCAGGGCCACCTGGCAGGAGCAGCTTCAACAGAGGACCCACAAGGGAAAGGTTGTGGAGACCCCAGAATCATCACAGCTGGGTCACCAGTTGGTCCCAGCTCGGCAGGGCAATTACCTACGGACTCAACAGCCACAGGAGAGCCAGCACCTGGGGCAGGAGAGATGTGGAAAACGCAGAAGGGAAACGCCTGCGATTCCAGGTGTCCTCCTTAAGGAGAGAAGTCCTCAAGTTCACAGAGGAGAAGTCAGGCTTCCTGCCACCGTGGCTGCTGCCACTCGCTGGCTGCCCACAACTCTACGGCACCCCCAGCCTCTGCAGCAGTGGGGGGGGGGGGCTAGGACAACTCTCCCGTTTCTCACTTGTCCAGGAGCCCAGAAGCAGTAGGCTGATTCCAGGGTCAGCGCTAAGCTGTCCTTCACGGTCACTTTTCTGTCTGCAGCACGAAACACCTTTCAGGGCCAAGAATGGACTGAAGAGAGAGGGCAGGTCTGCACCGCATGCTTGTGTTTTTGAGGGATCAGAAAAACAAAGAGGGGATTTCTCCACTCCACACAGCCGGGAAGACCCTAGGATTCAGAGCAGCAGCGATGGGTCATGTCTGCCACTGAGTTCCCTTATCACTTCACAGTGTGGCAACATTGTTGTACCTAAAAGTGATATCAACGGATACTTTTCTTGGGCTAGCTGAGGAATAACTTGGGATAAATCTCCCAAGCAGGTTCAGTGAGAAAGGAACTCAAAGTAGTTTAAAGAGTTGAGTTCCACTGCATTGTAAATAATGCCTCTGTAATGTATTTCTGCAGTTTGTTCTTTGATAGTGAGCAAGTTTGGTCAAAGTGTATGCCTTTCCTTTCAAAACGAATCTCTTTTCAAAATACCTAACCAGCACTTCTCTACATAGCGCCCCAGCTCCTAAGTCAAAGCGGGAGAAGACATGACCCATTGGTCTTGTTTTTTTTTCTCCCCCTCCGTCCTCTATGGGAAAATAATAACTCTAATTAAAGGGAATTCCAGTAATACTGACCTGCAAGGTAACTGACCTAAACACTAGAAAACCATATCTAGTTCTAGGCTCCTTCTTTTATGGTGTAGTTGTAACAGCACCCTTAGGTGCCCCATGACCCACCAGCATTGGGGAGGGTCTTGCTTTCCAGAGTGAGCCTAGGCAACACCGTGGGGCACCCTCAGAGATGAGGAGGCCATCCTCCTCTCTAAGCTCTTTCTTCTGCTCTTGCTGCCCCTGCCTTCTGCCCCATCAGAGCACTCTCAGGAAATGAGCAGAATGCGGGATCTTTGTGTCCTTCTTCCAGGGATATTTGCATTGAAGCCTTAATTCTAATTGCAAGTGAAAGGCTTGGTCCCCTGTGAAGGCACAGTGCAGTCCCAATGAGCAGATGGCTCACCCACCGATGAAGCACGAGGCGCTGCCAGTCCCATGGCTGCGTGGTAGTCAAGTGGATCAAATCCTTTGAGAGCTTCAACATGTGAATGCCAACATAGGCTATTACATGGGGATGCTGCCAGGGGTTTTCAACCTGTGCTGGCATTTGGGAGGTATGGCCTGTGTACTGAAGGACACTGAACAACATCCCTGGTCTCTACCTGCTAGTTAGCTGTGACAACCAAAAGAACCTATAGACATTGCCAAATGTCCCCAGGGGGCTGGTCCCAATTGAGGACCAGTAGGTTGAGCTAGTGCTTTGTCATGCGCCAGTATACAGAATGACTGTGACTGTGGAGCCCCCACGTCCATGTCACTGGAAAGCCTGCATACGAAGTTGCTGGCCTTCATCTTAATACCCATAGTTCTTTAGTCAGACAGGTAGGGAAATCGGGTGAGCCACAGTCTGCTGGTCTCACACCCCTTGCAGAAAATGCCTTCCCCATTCCTAGAAAACAAAACTCACTGTCTTCGTTTTCCTTGGCCAAATTTCACTGGAAGCCACAGGGACTTCTTAATAGATTTGTGGCCTTCAACAACACTTAATTGGATATTATTAGAGGATATTCAAGGTCCACCCTGAGCATGGGAAATCAAAGGGCTTTTCTTTTACCAATAAGCCTGTGGGTATTTTCATTGCTGGCCTTCTTTAGCACTCTCCTCCTTGAAGATAAAAAAAATCCTCACATGAAAATGGATTGTAAGAGGCAAAAGGGAAGTGTGAGGCAGGATGTACTGATGAGACATGGGTTCAGCCCTCAGATACTCATATCTTATAACCTGGCTTCAATATCCATTTATAACATGGGTGGGGGCAATTTCTTCATCTTTCTGTGCCTCAGGATCCCCACCTGAAAATGAGACTGGTCATACTAACCTACCTCCTCTGATGTACTGTGAGGATTTGAGAATAACACTTTTTAAAGAAAAGTACAGCCTTTCATCTCTTGAGTCTAGGCTGATGGTTCACAGTCAATGAATCAAACCCGGGTGATTTTCCAGATTGTTCTCTGGCCACAGTGTCTTCCATTCAAGTCTCCATGTGACCGGAGCAAGTATCTGTTATACAACTGCCTGGCCTTGCAGGATTTAAACAAACATTTAAGACAGGTTTCTTGTGACTCCAGAAAAGAACACTCCAAATATCCCCATCGCTGGTGAGGCCTGTTTCAGTGGCACTCTGAGTGCTGAGAGCAGGATCCTTGTCAGTAGTCTCCTTGCTAACCTAAAGGCATCTGTGAACAGCAGCCACATTATACTAAGGCAGACATTAACCTGCTTCCTGTCCTCTTTATTATCTAGGTTGTGGAATCTAAGGGGTCTCCGAACCCATAGCTTGTCTCCTTTGTTTCCAAAATGAATGTGATGAGGTACAATGAACTAAATGGGTGGTTGGCCTACAAGGCAAAGGGGGCTGGCTGATTGTGTTGTGTTCAGATAACTGGTAACTGCTGGGACTTGACTGGCACAAGCCATGAAGTGGCTGAATGGAGAGGCCTGGCTTTTCTGATGACATTGACTTCACTCACAAGCAGTTGGAGTTAAGACTTTTGGGACAGTTGAGAGGCATCGCTTTTCTCTCAAGGGGTGCAGCTCATTGAGTGTGCAGCTGCCTAACCTTGTCCTGGGGAAGGCCCAGGGGTGCCTGGCACTGTATACCACAACAGGCCCTTGAATGAGCCTCCAAGGAGAGGCCAAAACAGGCTTCAGTTTGGCAAAAGAGCCTTTGCTGCTGAGGAAGCAGGACCGCGTCGGGTGCTTGCTCCATGACTCCCATGCAGGAAGGCCTTCCCAACTTCTCCCACCCCCGGAGACTGGACAGCCCAACCCCAGGTTTTCTCAGCACTGAGAGGAAGTGGGGAGCGGGCAAAACAGAAAACGTTAAATGCATGATGTAGAATTGCTCCCTTTGCACTACGCTGTTGTATTAAGCATGAGAGGTGTTTGTTTCACGTTGGCAAAGGAATTTAACAAGAAACAAAAAGCTTTGTGTCCTTATTTTGGCTGTTGACAGAATTTCCACTCTCCTTCTTCATTACCCCTGCCCCCATCCCCTGCCCATTCCCTCAGTGCATCCCCTTTCTGTCACTGGTTGTAGGTATTTGATGGCTGCTGTCGGTCCTTTTGCTGTTCGTGATCCACTGAAGACAAGGAGGGGTGGGGAGTGGTAAGGAAAGTAACTTTTTTCTAATTTTTGTATTGGTATCCACAAGCGTTTGTATTTTTTGAATTGCAAACACTGTGTTTTCTGGTCTTT